TTCTTCTTACAGTAGTGCAATAGTGCTTTCAAACTGATTAGACACATCTCAGGGTTCCCACAAACACTTTAAGGTATATAAGTGGTCTTCAAAATGCCATCAGCAGTGGCCCATTATTAACCCTGCTATTTAAACAACTCGATAACATATTCACTTCCTTTTAAACTTCAATTTCATGCTAAAGATCTCAAATATGGAGGGCTGAGTGTGACATATTTAAAGGCACACTATGCAACATTTTTCAGTTAATTAATGTGTTCCATAACGTTTTGGATGATTAAATGAGTCATTTCAGGTTGAACAAAGGTATTCTCGGCCGCCCTGGTGGTCTGTGGGGGAAATACTGCACTTGCAATTGCAGGAGCACCGACCCGCACCCACAGGCTCAGAAGTCTCGTTAGAGTCAGTCTTGCTTTACGGCCGAGAACTGCTACACCCCCCAGTTAAAAGCATTCTCGTTGCTAGCACAGTGGCGATCCTTGTGCAGGGATCTTCGACGTGACGGGAGCTTAGGAAGATGGTGGAAGGGAAGCCACGTTGACACAAGAAGTGTTTGAGGCTCGGTGGATGGTCGTTTGGTGCATGGCGCGTGTTTTGAAGCTGCTTATGGAGAAATGTCTTGGGCCGTGAGTAGTGAGGAAACAGGAAGCGATTCTTGTGGGATGGAAGAGGGAAATAGTGACAATGAAGGTTGGAAAATAGCAACATCAAAAAATGAGAAAAAGCGGAAAAAACAGAGATCAGTTCAAGGGGAATCTAGTTCAGAACAATCCAGTGATGATCATTCCATACATTCCACAGCACAACAAAATGAATTCAAAGTCATATTCAAAGTCGTTAATCAGGCAGACTCTTTTACAAATTGGAATCCGGTTCACTTAACAAAAACCATCAATAAACTTGTCGGAGAAGTCAAAGGTGCCAGAATTCTGTACAGTGGAGACCTGCTAATTAACTGCAGAGACAGCGCCCAGCAAGGCAAAGCAATACGTATCAACAAAATTGACGGGATAAGAGTTCAGTGCAGCCTAATGGAGAACAAAAAGATCAGCAGGGGAGTCATTGGAGGAGTTCCTCTAAAAATTTCTGAAAAAGAGATTCTGGAAAACATAAGCGGTGCAAAAGTAAAAGAAGTAAAACGGTTAAAAACAACAAGAAACGGAGAAAGATCTGACAGTTTATCTGTGCTAATTAAATTCGAAGAAGAGCAATTACCAAGCAAAGTATTCATCGGTTACATAAGCTATAATGTCAAAATCTACAATCCTCCACCATTGAGATGTTTCAAATGCCAAAAATTCGGTCACGTTGCAGCAGTTTGTAAAGGGAAACAGAGGTGTGGAAGGTGTGCAGGAGAACATGAGTACGGAAAATGTGGAAAAGAAGCTAAAATAAAATGCTGTAATTGTGGTGGAGAACATACTGCTGCCTATCGCGGCTGTGAAGCAAGCAAAAGGTCTGAGGAAATTAAAAAAATGAAATTTGAGCTCGGAATAACCTACGCTGAAGCTGCAAAAAGGATCCCATCTCAGTCAGAAAAACCCAAACCTACAGTTCAACACACAGCAAATTCCAAACCTCTAGAGAAATCTCCAAAAATTAATGAAGACTCACTTATTGTTAAAAAGACAAATTTTGTTCTTTTCATGGTAGAAGTAATTAATTGTACTGCACAGACAACAAAAAAAACGGAAAAAATCAAAATAATAGTGAAGGCTGCAGAAAAATATCTGGACATTAAAGATTTGAACTGGGAGATGGTTGGAAGTATGATGGGAGGACCGATGGGACCATCAGAAACTGGCAGAGTTAAGATGACCTAGAGTAAATTAAAATTATATGGGCAAATGTGATTTAGTATTATGTTGGTTTAAGTTACACAGGTTTTTTTTTTTTTTTTTTTTTTTTTTTTTTTTTTTTTTTTTTTTTTTTTTTTGGGGGGGGGGTGAATCGTTTCCTGTTATCTTGCTTTACTCCATATCAGTTGGTGGCGGTAATGCACAATTCACAAGTCTGCCAACCGCCATAAAATCCCATAAGAAGAAGAAGAAGAAGATCCTTGTGCAGTTATGCTACGTTCACGCAGCAAAAGCAGCAAAATCGTGTCTGCTGCTTCATTTTTGCTGCTTGAACCAGTTAGTTCTGACACGCGGCTGAAGCAGCTTTGCTGCTCTGGCTGTGCGGTGCAAAAGTGTGTCTGACGCGCGTTGGGCGGAGCTTCACTATCCTTTCTCTGCCTTGCAGCTATATTTGCTGTGATCATTTGGAATAAAGTAGTTTTAATATGTGTTTAAATGAGAAAATACACCTGAAAACGTAATCAGTGCCGTCAGTTCATTCAGATTATTATCCTGCCTTCAATATTTTTTCTGTCAGAGCCGCTCAGACCCCCACATACCAGCGGTGCGCCGACAGAAGGAACCCCTTCATCAGCAGCCTCTGGCCAGGTCACCTCCTCGCGGTTCACCGCGGTAGCTGGTAGGTGTTTTTGATCTAAATAATCCAAACTGCATATTCTGCCGGCAGATTTCTGCATTTTAAGTTAATTTAGGCGTCAATAAACTGTTTAAGAGGAGAGATCATAGCCTCTGATCATCAGCGCTGTGTCTCTCTCCCTGCTTCAGCTGCTCAGACGCGCTGGGCCTGCTGTTCAAAACGCGCCGCGGGACCTTTTGCTGCGCCTTGACACGCGTCAACCATTGACTTTGCATGTAAACTCGCTGCTTCTGTCGCGCCAGCTGCGGTGTGAACGCAGCATTAGTCATTCGTTGCGTTCGCCTGTCTGCTAAGCTCAAAACAACCGCGCCTGGCTTGACGGAGAAACCAGGAGAACAGCTGTGCATATTTACGACAGTGCACTTTTACTTTCGCCCTCTGGGGGGAGTCTCGCTGGAAAATCAACACCGGTTGCATAGTGTACCTTTAAATAAATATAATCTCTAAAGAAATAGTAATATGCAGCAAAAATGGAAATTTGGGACATGAAAATCTAATAATAATAAAAATTATAAAATGTATTATTTAAATGTGATTTATCTATTTAAAATTCCTACATGTTTTATTCATTTTATTACATGAAGGTTTCCCAGTTGCAGACCACCACGAAATCAGTTAAACAGACACTAACATTGTATTTTGCTAACCTGCACATTCAGCCCATTTCAGACAAAACCTTTTGAATAACTATGAACTAACTTACCCCCAAGTGCAACCAAATGTAAAAAAAAATACATATATATTTTTTTATATTTTCTCCCTTTTTTTTCAAATACCATTATGTAAATCTGATCTGGTGTAATCCACTTTGAGTGGTTGTTGTGCCAAGAAAAGGTCTATATAAATGTATTCCATTAACATTAACTTGTACGAGGGACGTTCAATAAGTAATGCCCCTGACCAACTTCTAGTTGTTTGATCTAGCTGAACTTTCACATGTGCAATCTCTACAGATTAGGTGCCAAATTAAAGCTCTGAACTAATTGTGGTTTCTGATTATACCGGTGTTTGAACTGAATCAAGTCTCCAATGGAGTCTGTTGAGTGACGAGCATTGATACGGTTTTGGTATGGCTTTGTAAGGCCATATGGGACATCATCAACATAAGTTACTTTCATTTTAATAAAAGTTTCCAGTGGTGTGCATCCTTTCAAATACAAAAACCGGAGTGTCACTGCTTGACACTCAACAGGCTCCATTAATCTCTTAACTCAGTTCAAACACCTGTAACTCAGAAACCCCAATTAGTTCAGAGCTGTAAGTTAAGCTATAGAGATATACTGTAAATAATTGCACATGCAACATTTCATCTCGATCAAACAATTGGAAGTGGGTCAGGGGCATTACTTATTCAATGCCCCAAGTATTTTAATTGTGGCACAACTGGACTTCCATACAAATAGTTTTCTTCTTTTCATTAATTTCTGCTGTCTTATTTAACAAGTACAAAGTGGTTTTAAAAATATGTAGATTTCCATGAAATTATGGTGACAGTCAAAACCTTTAGCTTGCCTCAAGTTATTTAAAAATAAGTAGTTTTTTTTTTGTTTTGTTTTGTTTTTTTTACGGCAAGACTTTTCCACTCCAAACAATATCAATGGGGAGTCAAATGGAAAACAATTAAATTATGCAATGATTCTTTTAATTTTCTGTGCTGGCTTGAAGCTTAATTATCAAGAGATTGGCTGTTTTGTTTAAGTCACAAATTAATTTTCAGCTTACAGATAACAGAACAACAACAAACCCAGCTTAACCCAGCTCACTCATCTCCACAAATTAATATATCAACTGGCATTCCTATAACTCGCAGCATTTAGTGGGTCACCGACACTGACTGTCAAAAAGCTTCTACTGAACCTTCTCTAGGGGGCGGAGCTGAGAGTTGAGGTCCTCCAGTCGTCCAATCAGCTCCCGCTCTTTACTAAGCTGGTGCTCCTCGATGCGCAGAGTGGTGTAGAGCTGCTGCACCAGAAATTTGACGTCATTTAGCCTCTCAGCTTCCTCGTGGGGCAGGATCTCTGCTCAAACAAACACATAAGAACAGTTTTTTGTCGAAAATCAGAAGAATCAACTCAAACAAACCCGTATTTCTCTCTGCTGGTACCAACCTCTCCTTGGTGGTCGCACGATATGCGTGGTGTCATTGATGAGGAGCTTAAAATCATCCAGCAGAAGGATGTCTATGCCTGTAGAGGAGGCGATCCTTGCTCCATCTGCAGGGAGAGAAAAGAAATATAAATTTAGGGAGAAATAGAGCTTAGATGAGAGAGGGAAATTATTAGTATTCATTTGTATAACATATCTGGAGATATAGATGCTTTATATACATTTAAATTAAACTAAACATAGTCAATATAGCTAAAATCTGGGCACAGGTACAGATCATCTGGAGAGATCACCATGCTGAGATCTGAGCCCTGGTCAGTTTGGCCAAGCAGACCAAATAATACTAAAAGCAATCTCCAATAACCCCAAAATGTCATCAAAGGGTGAGATTGTTCCTACTGTTGACATAAAATGAAATACAAACTGTTGTGGGAGATAAGGAGACACGTTACTTCCTATGAGGGCCGTTACATGTTTATCATCATGGAAGAAGACTAGGGCTAAACAATATTGCCAAAAGTCCAAATTAAAATTATTTTTCAATTATAATTCATTTTTCCTTTGCACGCTTTCAGTTTTTAAATGATTGCTTGAAAGGAGTCCATTGTTGCAGGATTTTAGTGTAACCTTTGTGCGAAAAGGTGCTTACTTCTACTTGCATATATGGATTCGTGTGGTAACTACGACTCTCGCCCTTTAATCTTGCTAAATTTAATGGGACTAAAATTGAGTGCCTCTGCAATTTAAAAAATTGCTTTTTAATAAATTGCAATTTGATTGTAAATGCAATTAATTGCCCAGCTCTGACTGAACGATCGGCACTGTGTGTTTTTTTTTTTTCTTCAATTTGTCTAAAAAGATAGGGTGCTGCAGTTGGATAGGCTAGCATTGTTAGCATCAAGCTACCTCATTTTGGTCAGGTATACACAGTGATGGGCAGTAGCGCCGCTACATGTAGCGAAGCTATTAGTTTAACTACATTTTCCAGTAGCTTGACCGTAGCGTCGCTGCTTTATTTATCAAGTAACTTTCCTGTAGCGACGTTATTGTTTTGATCAAGTAGCGACGTAGCGTCCACAAACGCTACAAAATCCAGGGCAAAACTAAGAAATGAAACCAGGTTTTCTATTTTGAAACAACAATCAGCCACAAGCTACTGTAAATAGCAGTTTCAGCTGACGCTCCTATAAGTGGCGTAGTAGCACAGGCACACTCAGTAGGGTTAAACAAGCGCACCCTTTCCCAGGCTGTCGTTCTATTGGCTGGAAAGGTTGCTAGGCAACGATCCAACTGCAGTCTGAGAGAGCAAAACAAATCCGCAAGCAGAGCCTATGGATTTGCGAGCGTAACAGAGCGCGGTTTGTGCGCGAAGAGAAGGAGGCAAGCGAGAGGAGAAAATATCTGTGCAAGAAGGATTAAATCTGAGAGAAGAAACAAAGAGAGAAGAGAAAATATTTGAGAGAGAGCGCATGTTTTGACTGTGAGCATTATAAGTTTTGAGAACAAGAAGATGAAATTCTTTTCTCAAATTGAAATGATGTGCTCTTGCATTATGGCAGGATAATTCTCCCATATCTATGTGCCACTAAGATACTCTAATTAGAGAGCTGTAGTGAAACTTCCATATTGTATTTTCATGGCCTAGTTTACCTGACAGGATGTTTACATAAATCTGTTTTTAGGCTGTGCACAGATAAGATTTTTTATGGAGGAACAGCTCTACCGTATATAAAATAAATACATAAATAAATAAATGCTCAATAAATAAATAAATAAGCATTCAATTAATTGCCTCCAAAAATACAATGAATAAATATGTAGGTAGAAATTAAATTATATGGTGAGACATATATATATATATATATATATATATATATATATATATATATATATATATATATATATATATATATATATATGTATATCTCTTAATTAGCTTCTTTATTTTTTCACCTTCTTTTGTAAACAGTTTTGTTTGTTACTTGAATCAACTGTTTAATTGAGGTCTTTTGTAGGGTTTTGTTTTCCCTAAAGATGTCCATTGAATGCAAACTCATAGCCATGTCTCGATGTGTAGAACACTACACAGTACCTTTAATTTGGTTCTAATAACAGCAGATTGTTTACTAGTTTGTCTACTAGTAATTACTTTAGTTTTTATTTTAATATGCTGATCATAAAGCAATGTTTACACTGTGTTATGTCATTGGCTGATCTTTAATAAATATTTTAACCAGTGCATCAGACTCATTTTGAATTGACATTAGGTTGGTACAACGTTAAGTAGCTTCTGATGTAGTTAAGCTACTTTTAACACATTAGTGTAACTTAGCTTGCTATAATTCTTTAGGTGGTAGCTTTTGTGTAGTGAAGCTTAATTTATTGTTGAGTAGCTGATAGCTTAGCTCACTACACTGGACAAGTAGCTTGCCCAGCACTGCTTGTAGCGACAGTGGGGAGGAAAAACTCAATTTTAGCAGAAAGAAACCTCCAGCAGAACCAGACTCAGTGCGAGCAGCCATCTGCCGAGGCCGAGGAGACAGAAGCAGAGATACAAAAAGCAACTTTAAAAGTTGGCCCTGTCCAGGAAACACAAAGCCAGGCAGATGAGCTCCGAGCCAGCTCCCATGTCAGAGGATGAAGAGAGCACATCCAGTCTGTCACAGTCAGAGAAACAGGACTACACTGGAAAAACAGACCGATCTCCAACATCTATAAACAAAGGTGCTGATGGCAGTAGCACAGCTCATGTTTCTCTCCAGAGTGGTGTCACAGCCAAACAGCAATTATACATGAAGGCAGCCATTTTGTAACTTATGGTTCTAATGGTCCGCCACGTAGCCGGTCTCCTGGTGTCATCTAAGATAGCCGTTTTTTGTTCCAGTGTTGCTACATTTTAATGTATTTCCGGGTCATTGTTCATTTTCACTGTAAAACTATATTAACCTTCACTTTTTGATTGCAGTTAAGATCTGTGGATCAGTTGTTCTTCACATTTATCTGCTCCTATTTTAAAGGGCACCTTAAATGCATTAATCACCAAGCCTAAAAACTTTAGACTTGTACTCTTTGAAATGACTCTTATATCCCCCTTTTCTCCCTTTTATTAACTTTTCATTTACTTGGTGCTTAATTTCAGTAGTGTGCAGCATTTACATAGTTGTCAGATATAGTAATACTGTAGTAGGGATTATTAACCATTAAAGGTACCGATATTTTAACCTGTGGTCATCTTCCAGTATTTCTGCATAATAACTTTTTTGGTTGAAACTTGAAGAAACAGAGAGTTTTTTTGTTGATTGTTATTAACTCTGCCAATAATCATAGCAGAAACTGCTAAATTGGTAAAAGATAACTGGATTTCAACAGCCGCTCCAGAAGTCCAAACTCAGGTAAAAGACAAAAGAACTTTGGTGAGTAAGCAGATGTCAGTTCTAATTATTTAACTAACAATAATTAATTAGTTCCACCCTTGATTTGAATGACATATTAATTTACTAAACCTTCAGTTCTAGTCATTTATTATATTCATAATCTTCTGGTAAAATTGCACAACAGCAAACCTTCTTTAAAGCCATATGAGAAACTGCTAGACAGCTGAAGGTAATGTAGAGAGGGAGATACCAGCTACTAGGGTGTCCCTCTGTTTACACATGGTAGTGCATGAAATCTGTTCTTTGAAGGGGTGTCAGTCACACTACTAATTTGGCATGGCACTGATACTAAAGAAAAGTGATGTTTGCATATTTTTTTATGTTTATTTTTGATTTTCATAAGAATACAAGATTGCAAATGAAAAGAATACCCAAGAAAACCTTATAATATTGTCAAACTGTATTATACTTGGATTATTTATCTTTATTTATTTGCAAACTTATTTAAATTGCATATGTTTTTATTGAGAAAGCCTGTTCCACTTTAAAACTGAAAAAGGTTCATTATTCAATGTTAATAGAAATGCTGTTATTATTTAAGAGTTTTATTCATGCTATTAAAACTTTTATTAATTATTTTCCTAAGTAACTAAAATAGGTCATTTTTAGAGCCTACAGACAATTATATCACTTATTATTCCCCTTAGATAAATTAAAAAAAGATTAAACATTACTATTTGTTAAAATCTGTTCCATGTCTTTTACCTGGCTAGACATAATCCAGTGTGCGTTCGTATCCTTACCCATGGAGTAGATGGCTACACGGTCGATGCCTCGGTCCTCCGCCTGGAGCTGCTGCAGGAAAACTCCCACGCAGTCGCTGAGAGGCTTTAGGGTGAACTGACAGCGCTCTCGTCTGGACGGCAAATTAACCGATATCACAGGTAGACCGTTCTGGTACACCACTGTCACGTCTGAGGGGGTAACAAGAAAGAGAAACAGCAGAGAAACTCAGGGGTTCAGCATCAACACACAAATACTGCTTTCCAGAGATTTGCGCACAGTTTTTTGACATTAACTACACATAGTTTCTATTCCCATAGAAAAGGTTTTATCTCCCTGGATAATGCTAATGTGGAAAGACAGACGATCAAAATGCCATCTAGGTAGGTAGGCATCACTAACCAGTCATTCTCAGACAGACTTTCTCAGCAGCGAAAAGGATAAAAGGAAGACGGAGGCCAAATGGTCCCAAAACTCCATTTCCAAGTTCAATTATTTGGATTTTGCCTGCTGTTAGTTTTGTCTGTACATGCTGCTTTAAAGAGTGCTGTAAGAACGGTTAATTTTGTCCAAACAGTTCCCCAGAAGCCTCTCCGTGCATAGTAATTATCCCTATAATACAGCCCGACTGGTCCATAACCAAACTGTGGTTATAAAGACCCTGCGCAGCTTGTACCATTAAAGCTGAAGTCTGTAAGTTTTTAAAAATCACTTTTTTGTCATATTGGCTAAAACTGTCCCTATGCCCAGACAGCAGTACATGTGATATGTAACCTGTGAAAAAAACTGCTTCAATTGGTACCGCCTACTGCCTGTATTTCAATCTGGAAAGAATAATTCGGGACCAGTCAAAACAACCAATCACAGCCAGAGGAGCGTCTGATGGAGTGTCAATCACAGCTCACACACGCTGAATCCCGCCTCCCCCCTTCTGGTCGCATGCGGTAGCCGCGCAGATGCTGTGAGAGGGTGGAGCTTGGAGGTGGGGCATGAGTGAAGCAGAGAGGGTGGGGGAGTGGAGTGAAACCTGTTTTTCTTCAAATTTTCAGTCGAAGTCTGCTCTCTCCTCAATGTTACAGACTGCAGCTTTAACACACTGAATGGTCTCTAATGACAGATCCATGAATCAACCCAGAGGGCTGTGAGCCTAGTGTGGAGAGGGTCCAGGCTGCTGCAGTGAATCAGCACATCGCTGCTCAAACTCGCGCTGAGGTGAAGGATCATCAGCTGGCAGCTGCCTTCCAGTAGATCCTCTCTTTTGAATAAGCGCTCACAGGCACAGACATTTCATTTCACTTTCTTGCAGAGGAACTGTGAAAGTGTAGGCAAAGTAGCTTCACTATTGCACCTATTCCCCTTTGTCCTCCTTTATCCTTCCATCACAAACCCGCTGTTTGTAGTGTCAGGGGATCTTGGGCTCCTTTATGTTGTAATCCCAAAGCTATTTAAGCTCTATTTAAAATCAAATCCTCCTGCTCTGCAGTGCTGCTGGCTCATCTTTTCTACCCGTCAACCAAAAAGGTACTCCCTGAGAGCAAAAATTGCAAAATTAATAACCCGCTGGTTGCTAACTGCCTGCTTACTCCAAATAAGATTCTGCTGGCTGATTAAGGCACAGCTTTTCTTTGGTCAGCTTTCTCATTTGTCTCCGAAGCAAAAGGTAATTAGAGGGAGTTTTTGTTTAAAGGGAATTCCATCATATGTCTCAAATGGTTAACAATAAACCAAATATGTTGCATTGTATGCAAGGGGAAATGGATTCAAACGGAGAGCTCACCGCCTGGGGTAGTGGAGGAGCAAAACAGTCTCTGGCCATGCCATGAGGGGGCGCCCTTCCAGACCTGCAAGCACAAGTGGTAGAGAGAGAGAGAGAGAACAAACTGTTAGATTGGTGGGTGAGCAAAAGTATGGATGGATGGATGGATGGATGGATGGATGGATGGATGGATGGATGGATGGATGGATGGATGGATGGATGGATGGATGGATGGATAAAAAGCCAGATGGACATACAAATGGGACCAGTCATGGAATGATAAACAACTTTAAAGACACAGGGATGAAAAGATGGACAAAGTGAGGGAGGACTGGATGAATGGATGGGGAGAGGGACAAAGGGGCAGAGTTGGGCGGACAGCTGGCTGAATAAATAAGTGGAAAAAAACAAATGGATGCACAGGTGGAGAAAGGAGTGGTGGAATAAAGGGAGACATGGACGAGAAAAACGGATGAACGGATGAATGCTAAATGTTTTCTTCCTCTTGCGTCTTTTTTTTTTTTAACATTCCAGAGTGAATAAACTCTGTTAACATGTTACCACTTTAATAAACCCAATGTCTGGGTATGATTTTCCAAAATAACATCTAGTTTGTTTCAGACCAGAGCCCCACCCAAGGAAGGAAGATTAATGGATCCAACTGCAGCTTCTTCATCAAACGAGTACTGTACAGAGTCATGCATAATGAAAAAACACACTGAGCTTTCGGCTTCTCATGTAATTACTGCAGCAGAAATCACCACTAAAATGCAGCATGGAAAAAAAAAAGAAAACGTTCAACACAAATAATGTGCTTTGGTTGCAGACCAGAGAGGAAGACATGAGGAGATTGGGGGAAGCCCTGTTGTTTTTATACACAGTCCAATAAGAGTTCCCCTTAAAGCTGTATTGCAGATGTTCGAAGAAAAAAAAGTAAAACAGGCTGGTCACCAATCTTGGGGCAAGCCTTGGGCGAGCAATGAAAGTCAGAACTCCTTGTTTGTAGAAATGAAGGCACCATAAAATCAGAGGCCAACGACTAAAGAGAATCAAAACCTTACTGATTAAAGTTATATGCACATTTGAGTTCCGGTCAAACTGCTCCTAATGATAAGTAGCACTCATTAACCCATCATTTAAGCAGATCAGAGCACATCTTGAAGGCCATGCCTCCAAGCAGAGCTCCATCTCTCCTGCTCCCAGTGTTAAGTAACTGTAACAGCAGAATAGCTGAGTAGTTATGTTAGATTTACAACATGCATGGAGTCCCCCATCAAGGGGAACCACAGCAGCAGCCACTTAGGGCTTTCAGGGCTTCACCTTTATGACCACAAAGAGTAAAAATATCTTAGTAAACACCAGTAAGGGAGAGTCCCTGCAGTGGGACAGCTGGTAAACCCAGAATCCAACCGAAACACCCAGAATCCAACTGAAACACAGACTGTTTCTCCCTCACAGACTGTTTTACTTCATCAACAAATCATACAAAAACCTTTGAAGGTAAAAATATATATTTCTTGACCGGCAAAGTAAGGTCTTTGTTACACTGTAGGTCATTTCTCATAGAAACTTAACTTGAACCAAACCCATCATCCCGTTAACTTACCTAACCAACTTAAAAAGACATGGGTTTCTGCTCATTTATTACAAATTTATGCATTTTCAGAAATTTCTGTTATTCTATAAAGATAATTAGAATGAAAATAGTCATTCAAAAGTGAACAATTTATTTAAGGATTTAAAAAAGGCAAGACTGATAGTTGGACAAAGTGAAAGGGCAGAAAATGGATGGATTCACACATTTGAGGAATAATTAGATAGAAGGAAAGTATTCGAGGTAAACTGATAGACAGGCCAGTCGGAACTATTGGCTGATATTCACATCAGCAGATGGGGATACAGGAATTTACTGATTCTTTAGTGCATTCAGTAGACATGCCTTGAGATCATGTCAAGGGCATGTTTTTTTTTGTTTGTTGTTGTTGTTTATATCCAGACTTATGCTACATTTGACATGTTTCCATGGAGGAAGAAAAAGAAATATCAGCTTCAAAAATGTGCCCCCCAAAAAAGAAAAGAAAAGAATAAATAAATAAAATAAAAAAACAGCATTAGTTAGACTGATGTGGGCTATTATAAAACAATCAGCATCATTTATTCTATAGAAAAATACAGTTAGGTCCATACATGTTTGAACACCAATATTTATTTTACACATTTACTGAAACATATTGAAGTTATAGCAATACAAAAATCGTGGACATAAAGTCCAGACCTTAGTTTTAATTTTAGGGTATCCAAGCTAAAATAAGATGAAGGTCTCAGGAGTTTCAGTTCCTAAACAGGTGCCACCGTGTTTATAAAGGGACAAAACTTGGACATAAAATCAGAGGCTTTGTTATGGGAAGGATTTGGCAAATCCTAGTCAAGCAGATAAAAGGCCTGGTGTTGATTTGAGGTATGGTGCTCATATTTGAAAGATTTTGTGTGAAGAAAATATCCAGTCATAGGAGCTTTCTATTCAGAAACAAGCCACCCCTAAGCTAAAACAGAAAAAGCCCACAGAGAAATTGCTACAACCACAGGAGTGACAGTTTAATACAACTTTAAAAAAAGAGAAAGCACTGGTGAATTTCTCAGACCTAGAAACCCATAGAAGACAATATTGGGGGATGACTGAAGAATCATTTCTATGGTGAAAAGAAACCCTTTTACAGCTGCTCGAGTGAACCAATCTGTCCAGAAGGGAACAGTAGAAGTATCAATACCCAAATCTCCCATAAAAAGAAAACTGCATTAAAAGTAAATACAGGGCTCACTACATGATGCAAGTCACTCATGAGCCTCCAGAATAAAAAGGTTAGATTACACCCGGGGTCACCAACGTGATGCCCGCGGGCACCAAGGGGCCCTCAAGGACCACATGGGGTGCCCTCAGCATCTTTTGAAAACAGAACAACTTACCAGTGGACTAAGTTTGACTGTTATTTTTTGCTGCTGCTGTTATGTTTTATCATTTATAGAGCGTTTCATCATATCAATAATTTTAAACATATAAGCATTTACAGGGATTTCAAAATGACAATATCTAGAGGCAAATTAGAAATGTAAGGAAACACAAGAAATATGTTTATTATCTATGAAGTTTAGGTGAACGCTGACTCCTCCAGGTCATAGGTCAATATTAGTAGCCGATCCTGTGACTCGGTACCCATGAAGTAGGCCCTATTCATAAAAAGGTTGGTGAACCCTGGATTACACTATGCTAAAAAAACCTCAGTCAAGGAAGAACATTCTATGGAAAGATGAAACCAAGATTAAACAGAATAAAGGAAAGAAGAAAATATGGAACAGCTGGGGATTAGGTCATTATCCAAAGCATATCACATCATCTGTAAAGCATGGTGGAGGTAGCTTAATAGCCTGGGCATGCATGGCTGCCGGTGGCATTGGTTCACAGGAGTTCATTAATGACGTGACGAAAAACAGAAGCACTGTGAGTTTAAATCCAGCCAAACCGATTGGTCGGCGTTTCATATAAATTCTCCTGAATTAATATACTAAATTAATTGCTATCATAAAAGCCTTAATACAAAAGGGTGTATCCTAATGTTTTAAGAATTAAGTAGTCAGTTAAACAGTTTAAATCCTTTTTTGACTGCCCTAATTTTTGATCCGGTAACCTTTCTGCTAACCAGTCTGCAGCTCATAAATCCAAACAGTCATAGCTAGTGAACTACAGGTGAGTCCCACATAACGACTGATTATCTACAGCCAAAACGTCACTCAGGCAGAGAAAGCTGCAGGGCGAGCATCAGCAATGCAACACAGCAGACCTGACCAGCTGCAGAGGCGTCTACTTTTTTTCTTCCCTTAGCAAGGGAGAAAAGGCAGAAAGTCAATAGAAGCAAAAGTAAATGCCACCACTCCACGGTGGCTTTCCACTGTGTGTGTTAGTATTGTAAATAATACCCATTGCCAACCCACAGCACCAAGCCCAAATCGTGATTAGCCTGCTGATCGGATGACATGCTGAGAAATAGCTTTTGGCCAGTCTGGAATAACTGCACCAGCTGCAGAGAGCAGTCCAGTTTCACTTTTCTCATTTATCATGATCTGTTGTTTGAAGATTTTACTGTTAACACTTGCAACATCCCCATCAAAGCTTCCAGGAAACCCTGACTCTACATAGAAACGTCATAAACGTATGCAAACACAGCCGGACCGCATGTCTGTCGAGTGACATGTTGCTGTGTGTGAGTGCAGCAGGCGTGAAAGCACACGTGTGCCCGCCCCGTCTGTTCGCCGGGCTGTTTGTCAGCCGTGGTTGGGGAGCGGCTGGGGAGGACCTCCCCCTCCCTCGACACGTGGCCATTGAAACGATGCCTGAAATATTTAACGGAGAGGCAGCAGTCGATAGCAAAGCAACCTTGGAATCAATGTCACGCTGTCAAGTGACCGACGGCAAAGCAAAGGAAAAGCCTTCAGTGGAGATGATGGAGGGATGAGCCGGAGGAAAGAAGGAGGCGTTAAAGCAGCAAGAGGAGGAGGAGAGAAAGTGTTAGGATAAATGGAGAAGCAGGGGATAAATGGAGGCTGGAGTAGAGAGGTGTGAGTCACGAGTGCACTTACGTTTCTAACCATGTGGTGCTCATACTGTACCCCGCAGCACGAAGGAGATGAGGCAGGGCAGCAAGGAGAGGGGAGGTAGCGGGAGGGAGGAAGAGGGATGCTGCTGATCACTGCAGTAAAGGAATCCCTTGACTTTCAAAGGGGGGAGTTGGTCCTCTTTTTCACCCCTTTCCCTGCATCCCTGAATAACTCACACTTAACCCTGATGTTCCCTTTATTGCTCTTTCATCAAAACTCATCTGCATTGCGCTTTAACCTGCCGACCACTTAATTTATGTAAAAGTGGATTCAGAAATGTTCATTTCAATGCACGAAATGTGCATGAATACCCACACCAACAAAAAGAATGAAAATTGTCATCAGGAGAGAAAAGGCTCTTTTACAGCAGAAGAACTAGAGGCCTGACAGTGATCTGCAGCGAAGATCAATCTCCTCCTTCATACACTAAAATGT